CAGTTTTTCTTTTCTTTCTTTCCTTCTCTTTTTTTAATAATGCAAATACATGACAAGATTTGGTCCAGAACAAGAAAAATACTTAAACAAGGTTGTTTTTGTTTTCAGGCAGCTGGAGCTATAAGTGGATTTCCTCTTTATTCCAATAATGCTGTTTGGGCTACCAAAACAAATCGAAAAAGCAGAATGATGTTAGGTTGTGGCTGTTAGTCCTTCAGAAATAGTCATCAAACTTCAAGTTTATAAGTTTGGAATTTTTGTTTTGTTTTGGTCTCCACAACCCAATCTCTTCCAATCTCTTGCTCTAAGATCAAATCACTCCTCTGCTTAAAACCTTCTGGTGGCTTCAATCACAGTTAGCTTCAAATCCAGTTCTTCTCCATAACCAAGAAACCCCTGAAGATGTGGCCACTGCCTGCTTCTCCAACCTCATGTGATACTGTCCTTCCCTTCATCCCCCTGCAGCCACACTGGTCTTTCTGTGGCTCAAAATGTACTGACCCGGCCCTGAACGGGGCTTGGCCTCCTCGGCCTGCAGCACACTCCACCCGCTGGCTCCTTCTCGTGACTTACCTCAGAAACCACCACCTCAGCAAGGCCTCCCCTGAGTCCCCATTTCACCCTGTTTATTTCCTTCACCACTTTTATCACTACTACAAATCATTGTTTATGTCTCCGCATGACAAAAATGGACAAAGATTTTGCCTGTCTTATTTCGTTGTATGTCTTTAGTTCCCACAGCAGTACCTGGTACATAGAAAGTTCTCAAAAAATATCTGTGGGCTGAAAGGAACGTTTTGTATGTAAAAACACAGCAGTGACACTGTCACTAAGATGTGTACTTTGAGTTGACATTCAGTTCGGGGATGGGTTGTGCTGATCTGTCACCCTCTCTCTCCTAGAGGCATTCTGATAAGCAATGGCCCTTGTCTGCGAAGATTCCACGCCAGGGTTTGGGGCACAGTATGAAAGAATGGGACAGAAAAAACAGACCTGGCTCATGTGGAGATTAAACCCAAGACACTTCATCTAACCTACTAACAGGCCACATGGGGAGATCCACATTTTTAATACTGTTGTTTTCTTTAAATTCTGTATTTCCCAATAAAGCCAAATGATGTTCTGTTTACTTTTATCACAAGTGAAAACAAATGGGTATGAAGTTCCGGGTAGATAGGAGAATACATTCTGGTGTTCCAGGCTGACAATAGCTAATAATAGTGTATTATATATATGACATAACTAGAAAAGAGGATCTTGAACATCACCACCAGAAAGAAGAGATAAATGTTTAGGTGATGGATAGGCTATCTACCCTTAGTGAATCATTGTACAATATATGCATGTATTGAGACTACATTCTGTACCTCACAAGTATGTACAATTAAAAATAAATTTTTAAAAAATTAACAGAGAGATAAAGTGAAGCGAGCTGCATGCAGAGCCGTGTTCACCTTGGCTGGGAGAGGAGGCTCGAGGTGTGCAGCGTACCTGTCATGAGGAACAGGAGTCCAGCCACGTGCTGGGTCAGACTTTCCTCCCAGAAGAAACTGACCGTGGCCACAATGCAGCCACACAGAAGGACGGCCACAGCCATGCCCAGGAACCCAGCGGTGATTCTTCTTAAATCTAATCTCAAAACAGAAACAGACATTCGCAATTAGAAGAGTCAGGAAAGTTACTGAAAATTAGAGCTGGAAGAGCTTTGTAAACACTGTGAAAACTAATATAAGTTACATGGACAGGCTTAGGGCCCATAGGGCAAGGAGGTGCACGGAATTCTCTTCCCAAATACTCCATAAGAGGACAGATGGGGGCGTTACCAACAGAGGGATCAGAATCTACCTCTCTGAGTCCACAGAGAAGCCCATACTAAGTAGAGAACAGACAAGAGGACAACCCCAGGTGACCTGTGTGATAGTCAGCAAGCTACTTAGTAAACCCAGAGTGAGGTAGGTTAAAGAAATACCTTTGTTATCTTTAAAAGGGCAATAGAAATGAAGGTTACCACCACTGCAGTGGCTGTAATTAACCTGGCTTTGGAGAAAGAGCCTAAAAAGTGAGCTATAGTAAAATACAGTCTTACCTGAGCACCACAGATGCCAATTATTTTGTTTTTCATTTACATCTACTCCTGCCTATTTTCAAAAAGGATCTGGGAAAGTGAAGGCCGTTATAGTGACTGAAATAGTGGCCTAAACTGCACACATGAGACATCGGCTCATAAACACCCTCTCCCCAAAGACATCTGCTCATAAACATCCTCTCT